CAAACTCCCAGGCCTCTGGTAGAGGACCCGAGCTTGAGGATGACACATACCACCCCATGAGGGGTGAGAAAACAGTTTGTATATATATATAGTATACTAGTATTGTACACTTAAATGCCAGAGGGATTTATACATAATGCGAGATAAGACAGGAGTTCATTTTAAAAGAAAATAACACATTTTGATTTATTAAACTTGCTTTAATTTTGACGACTTCACAGACAGGATCAATACAAGTCCTGCATAAATGAATGCAGGTAAATCCAACATACAGCAGATTTAAAGAAAACACACAGAGATCAAAACAAATAGAAAAATATCAAACTGCATCATTCACAGTGAAGCTTCTCTGAATAATATCCTTTTTTAATATTAGAGATGCATTCTTTTTTGGTTTCATTGTATATAACACATATATCAGCCAGGAAATTAGGAATAAATATTCTTAGCTGTTCTTTAGTGAAACAGAGGGATTTAGACACGTTTTACACAAGCAGTGTTTTCACCATTGAAATATGGTTTGCACCACAAACAGCACAGTCCATTAAGCATGTAGTAGCTGTGGATCTCAGCTACATCACTTTGATAATGATTCACATGCCACAACTACAATTTATTTACATGATGACTGTGCAAAGGCGTTCTATTTGTAATCGTTACAAAATCTTAAACACACAACCCTAACGGGCTGATGTTAATATAGACAATCGGTCCACAATTTGTCAATTCTGTCATTGATGTGATCAGATTGCGCAACATTTACAGCATGAGAGGATCACTTTTCATCACCCTAAAAGCCATAAAAAGCACATATTAATTCATAACATTGAATACAATTTTACAGTGCATCAGTTTGGACACCGTTCAGGAGGTCAAAACCGATGGAGAGCCCTCAGACAAATTTTAAATGCACATTTGTGTCCAGGATGTATCCTTTAGTTTCGTACTCCTTTTCCCTGTTGGCCGAGGCTGTAGTGACACAGCTGTTCCTTGACTATTTTTAACCCGCCACTGACTCTTACGCAACTTCAAAGTCCATCTGTGAGTCAGTTTTCTCACACTGCGACCAATCAGCTCCATTCACATATTTCACAGAGATGAAAAAGCTTTTGGCAAGATTTCCGCTGCCAGTGTTTCTTGAAACCGAACCTCTGATATTTCAAACTTATTCCTATAAAAAGGAAATCTTATACACATGACCTACTAATTTACTTCAACCACACAGCACATCACTCACACAATCATGTTATCCTGGACTGTTAAAGGCACTGCTGGCAAAAATTAAACTTACTCAAACTAATTTAAAGAATACATTTTTGACATAATCTAGATGTGGCCATGAATATCAATTATCTTTTTGTTTTTTAGACTATTTGACATATAAATTGTCTTTATTATTATTTCTTTTTACATACAAGCAGCTTTTTTATACTTGTTTTTTTTATTTTACCTAATCATCATTTTAAAGAAAGTGAACTTTTCCAAAATAAAAAAAAAATTATTATTCAAATTAATTAAACTAAAGACTTATTGATAAATTTTTAATCTCTTGAATTCTGTCAGTTTTGATGGTTGTTGCTGACAGCCAATAAATCCTATTTCAGTTTTCCTTTAGAAAGTTACGTGACGTCTATAAATTGGCTCTTTAATGCAGAATTGTTGTAAATCACACACAGTCTATGACTTTTGCTACAAGAAAGGTGTTAAACAAGCTGATTGTTAAAATATTTCTGCAACAAAGCATATTGATGGGAAGTTCAGTGGAAGGAAAAAGTGGGGTGAATCTAATGTTGAGCTGATGTTATAGTTTAAAGAATTCAACAGTTTTTAAATTCTCTGTGTCGTGGGCTCTTGCACGACAGTCTTTGTTTCTGCTGTCATGACGCATTATGGCTACATTCACACTGCAGGCATTGATGCTCATTCCGAATTTTTTGTGAAATCCGCTTTTTTTGTGCTGCCGTTCACATTGCCAAATATATGCGACTTGTATGTGATCTCCTGTGTAAACTGCATTCATGCAGCTTAAGTGTCCCGCATGCACAGTAGAGGACATAATGACATCACAAGCCAGCGTGCTTTGTGTTTATGGAAGTAAACATGGATCTAGTGCTGGAGCGCATCTAGCGATCTTTCCCACCTTAAAACCTGAAGCTTTTCAAGATGGTTAAAGAAAACACTGCTCTCCGCATCATCGTCCACCATGGTTGTTGTTTTTCTTGCCGCTTTTGTGTAGCAAGAAGCAGAGTAGTGACCTTTGTCGGGTATTTATGACTTTCAGGTCGGATGAATGCGACCTGGCTGTTTACACACAGGTCGTATTTGAAAAGATCAGATTCGTATCGGATTCAGGACCACATAGCTGATTGGTCTGGGTCGGATTGGAAAAAAACTGATCTGTGTTGTTCAAACTGCCATGAAAAGATCAGATCCAGGTCGCATATGGGCCAAAAAATCGGATTTGGGCCACTTCAGGCCGGATGTGAACGTAGCCTTTAAGACTGCAGTCCTTATTCCTTCATTTTCTCTAGCACACTTTTCCCCCAAACTCCCTCTCAACTTCACATTTAAATCTTCCAGTCCATAATCATACACAAACTTTTCAAATTCCAATTTGTAATTGGTCTCTAGTAACTCTCTACATCCAGAGAAACTGAGTTCGGGGACTGTTGTTGAGTCTATAACCATTAAAATGTTATTTAATGTTTAATTTATTTATGTTTAATGCTATGTGCTTCAAGTTTTAAATATATTTACTAAAACAGATAAACTTTTATTTTCTGAATCTATTGCAATGCAGCTTTTCATGTGATGTCTTTAGCTATAGGCATCTCTGAAGTTTTTTTGAAAAGGCAGACCGCTGAGGGAGCCATAGAGAATATTGGGCTGACATGTGAAAATTGAAATGTCATAGTAAAATGTGTGGGTTTATTATACAGTGGTGATATAGTGATAGTTGAGATAGAGGGCCATATGTGACTTAGGGAGTTTCAAAAGTGACATGCTAAATGATGTAACAATAAATAACATAAATACATACATTTAGCAACCTAAAGTTTGTCATCTCTGATTATAAAAGCACATTTATAAAAATAAATGTAGACATATAAGGCTTTTGGGGTGGGGGAGAACAAGGAAAGGGCCACAAAAGTCATAAGAATGCCACTTCCAACCCTCCCTTTGGTGACCTTGTAGATTCCTTTGTTTCACATTTCATCTGTCTTCTTCACCGCTACCTGCTTACTGAAACATCAACTCAGAAAGATAAACCTCCAAGAGGAGGAAGTTGCCAAACAGATTACTTTCATGCTTTTTTTATAAGCTAAAGATGACGATGTATCTTTTCAGTTTGGCAACAGTGGCAATGAAAACAAGAGGTGGATCAGCTTTCACAACAGAATTAGTCTACATTGCTGAAGTAATGTGTGTTAAGCCCAGATCATGTGAATCTTCCTTTCCAATATGGGAAATTGAAGACAGTTCCACTGCTAGTCAGGTGTTTTTATTAGTCCCATCTGGGTTCTCCAGGGGAACAGCAGTGGCCCGGACGGTGTTGGGGACCTTCTTGCTACCGGACGCCTTGTCGCCTTTCGGTTTGGCTGAAAGACAGAAGTCCTTAAAGCAGCGTTTGAAGTTCTCGTCCAGGAAGGCGTACAGGATGGGGTTGAGGCTGCTGTTGGTGTAGCCCAGAGCCACGCAGAAGAAGTACGCAGCCATGATGGCTGTGGTCTCGGGTACACTCACCAACGCCTTGACCAGGATGAAGATATGAATGGGTGTCCAGCAAACCACAAACACAGCAACCACCACCACCACCAGCCGTGTGATGCGGCGCAGATTTCGGTCTTTTTCCCGGGAACCGGAAAGCATACGGACGCTCTTCAGTCTCAAGACCATGAGGGAATAGCAGACGGTGATGATGAGAACAGGCACCACAAAGGCGAACACAAACACACAGATCTTCATCATCGTATCCCAGTAGGCATAAGGCTCTGGAAACTGTAAGGCACATTCAGTTATGTCTGCAAAGAGGGGAAAAAAAAGAAAGGTTGACATTAAGGTAGTTGAATTTCTTGAGAATAAAAATCTAACCCTTACCTGTTATTGAACAAATTTGCACTTAGATCTCAGAAATGTTCAGCTTATGACAATAATTTGGTTCAGGAAAAAGCATAAACACTAAACGAGCTAAGGGGCATACGAGAGGGGCGAGGATCTGTTTGAGCTAGAAGTGAACTTTGAGACCAATTAAAAGGGATTAAAATGATCAGGATATATAGAGTGCAGTGTATAACTGTGAAACCAACCTACTGTAATTGCATCCAGAATAAGCAAAGTAGTTTATCTTATTTTGTTTACTTCTGCTCATTTTGATAAACTATTGAATAAGCAAAATGCAGTCTCTCAAAAGGACACCTTATAGTGACTCACGTTATAACTTTCAGCAATCAGAATCACCAAATTGTTCATCAAGTTGGTTATATTAATCTATATATATATATATATATATATATAATTAGTTT